AGCAGCAGCAGCAGCAGCTGCTGCAGCAGCAGCTGCTGCTGCTGCTGGTGTTGCTGCTGCTGCTGCTGCTGCTGCTGCTGCTGTTTCTTCTGGGTCCCTAAGATAGATAGGGGAGATGACCTCTACCTGCTGCAGCAGTTTATACTGTTGCAGCAGCTGCTGCAGCAGCAGCAGCTGCTGCTGCTGCAGCCCTTCATCATCAGCAATGCAGCAGCTGCCTGCTGCTTGTCTTTGTAAAGACACACGCAGCAGCTTTAGTGGTGGTTGCTGCTGCAGCGGGAGACGAACAGCAGCAGCAACAAAAAGATAAAAACTGCGGCGTTCCTGCGGTGTCTTTGCTGCTGCATGCACATGCAGCCCCATACACCTGGGCCGCAGCAAGCTGCTGCTGCACACCTGCTGCAGCAGCAGCAAATCCGACTGCAGCAGAGCAGCAGCAGCAGCATTCATACAGCTCCACCCCCCACATGAATTGCCTAAGACAAACGCATGCAGCTGCTGCAGCAGCGGCAGCACGCATGCCTGCAGCACAGAGCATACACACAAACCACCGCTGCTGCTGCTGCTGCTGCTGTTGCTGCTGCTGCTGCTGCTGTTGCTGCTGCTGCTGCTGCGGGTCCTGCATGCGCTCCTGCTCAGGGGGGTGATGATGGGAGGGGACAGTAAAGCCTCCTTCATGCTGCTGCTGCTGGCTGCTGCTGCTGCTGCTGCTGCTGCTGTTGCTGTTGCTGTTGCTGTTGGTGGTGCTGCTGCTGGGGTTACTGCTGGTGGTAGTGCTGCTGCTGCTGTTGGTGCTGCTGCTGCTGCTCTTGGTGGCTGTTTTGCTGCTTCTACTGCTGCTGCTGCTGCTGCTGTTGGTGTAGCCGCATGCGTTGCTGTTGCTGCTGTTGTTGCTGTTGTTGCTGCTGCTGCTGCTGCTGCTGGAGGCTCACCTTCACTGCAGCAGCAGAAGGGACAGTCTCTGCTTGTTGTCTCCTTTTTGCTGCTGCTGCTGCTGCTGCTGCTGCTGCTGCTGCTGCTTCTGCTGCTGCTGCTGCTGCTGCTGTTTTGTCCCTCTTTGTTTATAATGCAGCGGCGGGTAGCAGCAGGAAGCCCTAGCAACCACACACTGGGGATAGCACGCTGCTGCTGCTGCTGCTGCTGCTGTTGCTGCTGCTGCTGCTGCGGTGGCGGCAGTAGTCCGTGCTCTTCTTGCTGCAGCTGCAGCAGCAGCTGCTGCTGCTGTCGCCGTTGCTGCTGCTGTTCCTGCTGCTGTTCCTCCTGTTGCAGCTCGCCAAGAAAAGCATCAAAGTGCTGTTGCTGCTGCTGCTGTTGCTGCTGCTCCCGCTGCTGCTGCTGCTGCTGCTGCTGCTGCTGCTTTTGCTGCAGCAGCAAAGGATCTATATGCCTCACCCCCTCAACAGAAACGGCGACCTTTCTTAAGTCCAGCGCAATGCATGCAGCAGCAGCAGCAGCACAGATGTCTGCTGCTGCTGCTGTTGCTGCTGTTATTCCATCCAGGACAGCATCTAATTCCTGCTGCTGCTGCTGCTGCTGCTGCTCTAGCTGCTGCTGTTGCTGCTGCTGTTGCTGCTGCTCTAGCTGCTGCTGTTGCTGCTGCTGTTGCTCCTGCTGTTGCTCCTGCTGTTGCTGCTGCTGCTGCTGCTGCTGCTGCTGCTGCCTCCTCGAGCGCAGCATCGCCGGGGGCTGATCTACGAGTGCTGCAAGAACGCTGTCTGCTGCTGCTGCTGCTGTTGCT